CCGTCTCGGGCCAAATATTGGTACTAAGAAAATACTATTAGTGGCTCCCATAATTTTATATTTTTTGGTTCTGTTCCACTTGATTCGACCATTGTTATTTTATTTGTTTCGTTTTTAAGGTTATTACATTTTATGTGTGCTAAATATCTGAGAGGATAACTTCAATGACTCCGAGTAATTTAGATTGGACAGCACCTTCTCCTTCTGATAATGTTGTGTCAGTCGAAAAAGCAGCATTGCCAACTCTACGCGGCGCCTTTGTTCTCAGTTCTTTCCGCGTGCGACAGGTACTAGCGCGTTATTCGTCTTTGTGTTTTAAAAAGTTTGCACTGGTGAGGTTTTCTTTTTTTATCGGTTATTGCTTGTTCCAGGTATCTGGTTTCGTCTCCGGACGCAGTTCCGACCGACGTGGCTCCACTGGTTAACTTACTGCGAGACTGTGGGCTGTGCACTCCAGCGTTGACACTGTATAAGACAAGAATGACGGTGCCGTCCAATGCAGTTGTATATTTGCTGCTGGCTTTGTTCGTCACCATGCACAAACTGAATGGTTAGTCAATTTCGTTTGTGAAGTCTCTTAAAGGCAGCGATTACGATAGGTTCAAGAAGGGTTCAAAGGAGACGTGGTGGTGCTCAATGGTACGCCAGTGGCGAAAAAAGCGGAGAAATCCGTCAAAAAACGCAAAACGGGACCCTTTTTTGGCCGTTGGTTTTCACTCATGAACAGGTAACAGCTCAGAAAGCGGACGTATGAACGAGTTCACCGCAACGCGTTTGGTGGCACCATGCCAAACCACGCTCCAATCGAGTTGCTCCAGTTGTGCCGCTGCTGGCAACGCAGCTCGTCCAAATCACCAACTAAACTAGTGGGCGGATCGCTTTTGGGGGCGGAGTGCTTTCGAAGTCCTGCTCAGCAACCAGCGCACCTTCGTCGTGAAAGCGCTACACCTCGCTTCCCTGGCAGCCAAGTAACTGATTCGTGTGGTGCATATGCTTCCCCGATGCGCTCCCATGTAATCGCTGCCTTTAAGTAATATATTTCGAAGAAAAGGAACTGGTCTAGTTGGGACGCGTGCGGTTGCGTTGCGTGAAAGGTGAGCGAACTGCGGATGTTTTCTTCTTTTCAACTTACTTCGCCATATTCATGTCATGGGAATATTTTGTGCACAGCTAATAATTTAATCAAGTACGAGAATAGTTCCGCTTCTCCACGCATCCTACAACTTTAAAATTTTTATAGGCTCAATGTGAGGAGAGATTCATGCGGTATACAATAGACGATGACTGTTTTCCCTTTTTGAAGGATCTGTTCAGGTACTCGGAAAGATGCAATCTGTGAACGAGCCTTCATAGCGGGGCTATTCTGCATCCTTCATCAGATTAACGGTGTGGAGGACTTTGTGAAGACTGCGGAGATCTTCGCAGACTCTCTTGTTTCTGCAAAGGGCACCAATGACAAGCAGCTGCTCCTCTCGTACACCAACAGTGTAGCTACTTTTTCATAATTATGTGGTATTTTTTGCGAGTAAGATTTGCTCTTGAAACTTCCATTACATTCACTTCTCTTTCGTTTCATTACGTGTTTATGCCAATAGGGTCAGATCTGATTATTTGTTAAGATCATTTTCTACGCAGCTGAGTCATTGCTTGTGATTTCAAGACATCTGGTCTATTTTTTCCACGGCAATTTTTGTTTGTTTGATTGTCATTTTGAATAGATTGTACATATGGTAAAGTACTGGTAGACCGTTTTCTGGCCTAAGTGTAGCTGGCAGTACGTACATCGTTCGTTATGTTCTGTGATGTCTAGCAGAGCACCCGTCCGCCTGGTTGAGTCAGAGGGGATGGGTCGCATTCGGTGAAATAGGACCCTGTTTTTGGAAGGCATACCAGGGGGAATTTTGTGAAAGCTTTTTTTGCGAAAATTGGAGGAGGTGATGAGATTTTTATTTTTGTAGGTGAAGGGCCATAAGGGTGCCGGAAAGCGGCCTAACGACGCCAAAGCTGCGTTTTTTATTTACTACGCTCATGTGGAGTTGAACTTAGCTGGCATCCTTCCCAATCAGGCGCTCAATCCTGAAAGTGTCAATCAACTTTCGCACTTGTAGAAAAGCGAGAGGTGCGGGTTCTAGTCCCGCCTGGGGCGAAAGTTTTGTTCACAACCCAGCATTCTTGTGAAACATTCGCAAGGCGAACTGCGGCCAAAAACAGCAGTTAACAAACAAAAACAAGTCTAAAAACTTATTTTAGTATTTTCGTATGGGACGTGATAGAAGTCATAGATAAGCGAATTTTTTGCCCTCTGCAAACCCGAGCCTCGACTTCAGTTGGCTGGGCGAAGTAACTGACGTTTTTGCATGCATGTTCATTTTTTTTCATGGGCTGGGCTGTGTTTGTGTATTGCAGCACCGGAGATGACTATTTTCCGTCACTGATTAACTATTTTCCCGTCAAATTACTGTTATTTTTTGTTTTTCTTTTATTTTTTATAGTCACATTCGTGACACCCGATATATCAAGACCTAGAAGCAACCAGATAATCAGATTGGTTCGAGTGATACGCAAGGTTTGTTTACGGCCTGCCTGGAATGATGCAGATTCGGATGTCGAGACTTCGATGCTGACAAAAAAAAATGGAAGTGTCTGCGCAAGGCCCTTGGTAATTATAAAATGGTGTCGCGCTGTTAAGACGCGTCACGTTCTGGGAGGGATTTAAACAGGGCCTATGGATAGTATTAGATTGGAGAAGCGTCAGGAAAACCAGTTATTGTGCACCGTCAACGCAGACATTCCGCTTGAATGTTTTGTCGACTGACGAAAATCAGCATATGTAACAATGTTTTGCAATCTTCCTTTTGTCGACAACAGCACGAACGATTGCAACAGGGCGCTCCAACTAGGGTGATCATCAACGACGGGCCTTGTTCGGGATTTTTGGCGGAGCCCGTATTCTGATAGATATAGTAGACAAAGATAATGGTGACAAAGAGGTTCTTTGAAGATTTTCGATAGCGTTGCGAAAGGTAGAGCGAGCGTGCTGCAAAATCTAGGAAAGAAGTCAATACAGGAAATTTGAGCATACGCTGCTTCTGTCACATTTTCTCCCCCCCCCCTCCCCTGCCCACTGTACAGCGCTCGATCCGTGATGCCGTTGATAAGGGACGAAAAGTGGACGGAATTTGGGGTTATTGATGTCTCAGAATAAGAGAAGTGGGTGTAGGGCGGGGGGGGAGTGGGGTAGTCAAAAGAAGTTGAATGAGGGGTGCGTCCAAGAAATGGCAGAGTAGTGGAGCAGGGTGAATATCGCTTGAGGATTCCTCAACGGCACGTCGAGGATTCTCTGCCCGGTCAGACACGATCTCTCGCGCGGACATTCACACTCGCCATGGGCGTGCCGTCTGTGCTCTCCGCGCGGATGTTCACTCTCGGCACTACTCTCGCATGGTAGAGAGCTATGGTCGAGGAAATCCTCGACCGTTATTCACCCTGTGTTCGGACTAACCGTCCGAGGGCATACATTATCGTGTGCTTTTAGGACACTGTCTAGGACGATTGACGATTGGCTCTGATCCCACCTCTCCCCTCTCTTGGATAATAGACCGGGACGGCTCTATTATTGAATGGATCACAAGCACATCGAGAGAAATATCGATAGACTTTCCAGGTTCACTCTGTATTTTCCTTTGCCTTAGTTTGCCACCCTGGAATGCCAAGCATACGCAATTATGCCGTCTAGCAATGCTGTTGAACTATGACAGTAATCGAATTCCACTGGATTAATACCGTGCAACGTTTCATGGCTCACATGTGGTAGGTTTCAGTGAAAGATGAGCAATCCATACCCTTTGTTATTACGACAACCCCTTGCTAGGGACCACTGTACTAGACGTGGCGTGGATTATCGCAGTCATGCTCGGACGCCGTCTATGGTGCATTATCCTGGCCACAAATATTTGACATATGCACTATGAATGTGAGAGTTCAACGCGTCATTGACCCACGATGTCCTTCTATTAGGGTGTCCCAAATATTCGTGCCTTTTTTGGACCTCACGCCAGAGGTTTATTAAAGGATTCCTGAATATGATCACGTAGGCTTCATAGAGCTCATTTTGTGAGGTAATTTGCAAGCGAACGATGCCCGCCCTAGTTGCCGTCTTCAATTTTGAGATGAAAAATAAAAGAGCCATGGTCCAGGATCAACTTTCTTTTAATCTTGGTATAGTTTGATCAGATGAAGTTTTCGTTGAGGGGCGTGCGAGACTGGACGCTAGCTCTTTGTAGTAAACCCATAAACCATAATACATTCACAAAATAAAAACAGAACTATTGTATAAACAGGAAAATTTTCCTACGAATTTACAATTCTATTTGGCTGTAGCCGTTTTGCGATAGTAACTTATTAGGCTAACGTTTCGGCTTCTTCGCCTTTGTCAGTGCCTGAAAAGCCTAACAAAATTATCTAACTCTTTGACGACTACAGCGAAGTGTTTATCTGATCGGAAAAGTCGTGTTTTTCTCGTTTTGAATGACCTCCTCCTAAGCCTCAAGCGATCGAATCTTTAAAAAAAAGCATTTCACATAGCGAAAGTCGTCGTCCTCCATGAGGTATCAGAATATTCATTCTGCTTCGCTTCGCGGCAGGAAAAACATCGTCAGTTAGGCATTAGTGTCTTATTGAACCATCCGCTCTCCTTCTAGGCCTCAGAACCACAAGTGTCTGGCGTATGACCATCTCGATATGTATACATAGTGCTTATGCGAAGGCTTCTCATAAAAAATTGGGAGTGAAATTCCGCTTTGTACCCATTGGGACCGTGGATTGGAACCTTGGGAGTCAAAAACCACTGTACATAGGCTCGCGCTGCAAGTCCGTGCAAAAGGCAAATTGCATCCAAATGCTGCTACTCTTCTAAATGAAAACAGAATGCGCGGCGCATTTCAAAAAGGTGGATCAACGCTGAATGCTTAGCTTTTGCCCTTTTTACTTCTACAAAAGACCGCAGATTTCTAGGACACATCTTTGCTCAAGATTACTTATCAATTCCTGGTAATACATTCAGCCTTCGTTACGGGAGAGGGAATTTAGTCAGGATTGACCTTTCACACCTACTCGCTGTCGTTACCTCGCACCACCCTCTCACCTGCCTACGGCTGGACCTTGCTTAATTAGCTGTGCTGAGCGCTGACCTCGCTCCAACAAATCGCTCTCATGAGCAGTATTGATTATCAAGTCTATTTTTTTCAGAGATATGAGAGTAAAGAAAATACAACTCTGAAAATTCGCTGCAGGGGACGTGCTAATTTCCTCATTCGGATTCATTCTTGTGGAGAATTTCCTTGAGCAAAGTACCAATATGCCCATTAGCCTTCCC